CTGATATCTCAAATACTGCAGGATGACCTTGCTATGCTGGAATCATACAGGCAAGCTGAAAAGCTCCAGCTTGATCAGGTTTTCGCCACATCTGCTCGCGCCCACGGCCGCATTCCGAAGTATTCGAAACAAGATGCGATCAAAGATCATCTGGATATCGACGCGGATTATGCTTTTGAGCTTTACGTTTCCGATGCGCTTTCTAGTAGCGATGCATCCTATGCACAGACCGTGCAAAATGAAGTTTTCACGACAAATACTGTCGACTGGCAGCTGGCTCAAAAACTAGCTGCTAATGAGAGGTAAAACGTTATTTTGTGTATACATTTTGTTCCATCTCTGACGTTCTAAACAGGAAAATTAATCTTGATGCAGAATTCGCGCGTAGACTCCAAGCCATCGATGACGAAGGACGAACTGACATCGACCAGATCAAGGACGCTGAAAGGCGCGTTGTCTCATAGATTACTCTCATACAGTTCGAACTCGACGTCCTCACAGCATGATGAGTGACCACCCATCAACCCTCGACCTGAACACCTCCAAAGACGGCAGCGTTAGCGATATCCAACCTGACCACCGTAAGTATTCTTACTAATACTCCCTCTAAGTTTTCTACGCTCTTCCAGATAGAGAACAGGTCAAGATGGAAGAACCTAACACCCTCTCTATGTCAAAGAACAAAGGCAAGGGTAGACAATGCGTGAAGTACTCTGTTGACGGGGTTGCAAGTGCGTCAATCTCCCTTCGGCCGATAGACACCTCAAAATTTTACATGTGTTGTAGTCAAGGTGGAAGAAAACGAAGACACACTCCCTCCAGACAACACACCCTACCCCACGTGCAACATCTGCACGGAAGCTTTCATTTTGACGCACTCGCCCATCAATGCAGCTCTTTCCGCGAACTCTTCCAATAGGCTCCCGTTTGGTCTGCGCCTCCCGTGCCCGAAAGAGCATCCGTATTGTATTTCCTGCCTGACGTCGTATATCCAAAGTAAGCTGGATCCAGACGGCCTGGGCGTAGGGAAATCAAGCGCGACTGTGTTCCCAATCCGATGCCCTGAGTGCCCTATGATTGTGTGGCCCGAGGGGATAGACGATGATGTCGCACAAAGAGTGCTCGGAGAAGATGGTATGGTCCAATGGGTATAATTATTCGCTACCCACCTCTACAGATATTGACGTGTTTGAACAGCATCATCAAAGACTACTTGACTCTCTACCTCGATTTTTTTGTCCAAATCCCAAATGCTCGTCTCTTCTCGAGATAGACGAAGATAGCGAGGATCCTCAGGCCGCCTGCCCATCTTGTTCGCAGACAATCTGTATTCGATGTAGGACTCGTTGGCATACAGGTAATGTTTTCATCCTCAATTTCTCGTCCACGATGTTGACCCCTATGGTTGCGACAGGTCTTACCTGTGAGGAGTATCAGGTATCAGAGTAATGTATTCATCGACCGATAATGGTATTGATCTGTATAGGCGTTACCAGCTGACGAACGGTCCCCCGAAGATTGTGCGGTCTTAAACTTAGCGAAAGTGAGATGAAAATCTTTCAGCATTTCCATAGTTCGACCTTCAAACTTTGACTCCAGGCACAACATTGGAGACGCTGTCCCAATTGTTCGGTATGGATACGAGTCCCGCTTTCTTGTCTGTCTTGACATACATCTCTTCAGGTTATCGTTGAGCATACCTATGGCTGCAATCATATGACCTGCCGATGTGGCTTTCATTTTTGCTTCAAATGTGGATGTGAGTCCTGGACGTGATTCACACCAAATGTCGACATCTGAATACCTATTCGTATAGCTCCTTCGACCACAGAAGGCAAGTGCAAAAGCAATCCCCCATGTGAGCTGTGGGACGAAGAGAGGCTCTTGGAACAACGCGAAAGAGAAGGAAACCGCGTCGCAGTTGAACAGCAACCTGCTCCTCAGGCCATTTTCGTCGATGTCGCTCCGGGAGTTCCACAAGTTCACCATCCTGTGGTGCATCATGATGATTTGCATTGGATCAATGATCCAGGTACGTCTTTCATCCCATCCTCACCATAATCACTGAGCCGACCTATTCGAAGCCTTCCTGTCCGACAAGCACTGGTTCACAACGGAAATGATCCGCAACCTCACATGCGGATATTGCAATCATCGTCTGAATTCGCTGGCGGATTTGAGATACCATCTAGCCCATGTGAGGCGCCATTCCGTATATGCGTGCTGCGGGCGGTTCTTTAAACACCGCAGAGATTTTGAACGACATCAAGAAGCATATCCCAGCAGGTTTGGCTATCATGCGCGTGTCGTGGAGCACGATTGAGCTGGCTCGTCGTCTTCTATTGTTCTCTTTGCTATCTTTGTGTAGAACTTGTTTTGCATTGGACTCAAAATTGGTCTACGAAGCTCATCCTACATATTCTGAGCATATCCCAGGAACATAGATTCATGAGGAGTTACATTCTGTCAATTGGCATCAGAGACAGGAGACGCATGTTCCTTGCCAAGACGAAGCGTGTGCCGGGGGTGCAAAGAACGAGAGTAATGCGAGTAGATGGAGGTGCGAGTTCAAGCTGCCCGGAGACATGTGATCGCGTCATTCGGCACGAAACGCGTTCCGCAGTCATCCCGTGCCTCCTTTCTGCGGATTGCCAGAAACCGAGTCCCTCTTCATCCTTGACCAATGACAATTGGTGTCTCCCAAGCCGAGCTGACGGCATGACTTAGCCTGAAGCGGGAATCAGAAGCTTATACAACAAGATAGACAAAATTTTACAAATTAAAGCAAAGCAATAAGACAAACGTAGATAGTTCATGGAGGCTTTGACGACATTGGGATAGGACGCCAACAAGAAAGCAAGTTCACGAGCTTTTGATTTTGTCAACAGGGATATGTTAATGAGGGTAGGATCATCGCAGAGGACAGGCCATTCGGGGAATGAGAGAAACGCGGACATGTGCGTAACGTAAATAAGGACCGGTGTCACCCTCGAACGCAGGTCATAGTGGCATAAGTGTATCCTGGTCGCATAGGATGATCAGTCAACAGTCTTGAATATGATGGGGAATTCACCGTTTAGCTTGCATGTCCTGAATCTTCACACAAGTCACGCCAACCTGATTGCTGTATTAAGACGTGTCGCCAATCTCTCGCGATTTCTCCGTATTCTTATCTGGGAAAGGGTCGTATCCTTGCTTGCGTCTAATATATCTTCTAGGAACTTGACTTTGCCTTTTCGTGTACTCATACCATAGATTTTTCTGAATTTGACATGTTCGAGGCGGTTGATGAATGGCGCACCCATGATAGAATTACACCACGTGCAGATCTTGCTGGCCTCCGACGATGTAGACCATCTTGTCGAGTTTATATTCTTCGTATCGTTACAGAGCTCCGGCAATATCGCGCACGATGTGAATGGTGGCACCGTCTTTCACAGTCGTTAGTTCTGTCGGTAAGTGAGTACTACTGAACCTGCTTCGTATGCTTTGACCGATATTGGCCGATAGGTATCATTGTCATCGCTTCCGGTCATCACGTGTTTTACGGACTTGCTTCATCGGAACTCGCATTCAGCCTCAGTTGCTTCTTGTCCTTCAACGTGCACCTGAGGCTGTAAGTCTGCTCATTTTTCCCTCCATACCTAGACCTATGACTCATAGCATTGTGTAGCACTGTTTTCTTTCTTGTGCTCGTCATAGGTACATCAACATAGTTGCTTCTTGTCCTTCGACGTGCACCTGAGGCTCACTGTTTTCTTTCTTGTGCTTGTCATAGGTCTAGGTCTATCAGGTTATGGGTTCTCCCTTGTGATCTGACCTCACAAAAACAAAAGCAACTCATTTCTTTCCCTCTTGGAGTGTCAATGCCATAAAGCCTCTTCGTCTCCTGTACAAAATTGAGTCAGGTATCACTTACCATGACCATGGGATGGAATGTCACAAGAGATTGAGATGTACCCTGCTCCCTCTTGCAGAAGAGAAGTTTGGCTTCTTCATCTGTAGCAGAATACTCACTATCTGCACTTATCTTCTTCTGCGCTTTTGCTTTCTCCACACTTGTTTGCCTTTCCTTTTCAACGTCCTTGTTGACGACCACATATACTTTATAATACAGATGCATGATTGCGTTCTCAGAGAGCTCGGCCTCTGGATCATAACATTGATATCCAACGGAGAGAAGTCCTAAAGAAAGTTGAAGAGCAGTGTCATACTTGAGGTACGTCCTATCATACTGTTTCCTCCAGTGACCGAGACTATGAACGAGAATTGGTTCTTATCCCTGATCGATAAAACAAGAGAAAGGTGATCAGACAAACATACTAATTGTCGGATCTTTTGCCAACCGTTTGTTCTCAAAAAAAAAAAAACAAAAGATTTGACAAGAATGTTCCAATGTTAGTGCTGCGGAGGTGGCTGGGATGGAAAGGTTTAGCAAATGTTTGGGGGCGAGAACTCTGTGACGACTTCGTGGCCCTTTCCTGATTCATTGGTACCATATGAACCATGCGGATGCGTCGCCGTTGGTTGAGAAAGCTTGTAAATAATATACAAACGAACAATATCCAAACGATGTCAAATTTGTTGTGTAGCACCGATAGTGGACGAAGATACCCATCCCCAACGATAGATTCGACATAGTCGTCCGCTTCAAACTAGAACTTGTTGACGCAATGAAGTACGCAGGCTCATAGGGTAGCCAACCTCAGCAACGAGTTTTTGAATCAATGTACCAGGGTTTTCTTTCAGGCGAAATCGCGATACAGCGAGCAAGTCAAGTAAACGCCATCTAAAGCAGCTTTCGACGATGGCCCTAGAGATCGGGACACCTGATTGGCAATAGACAGTCTAGTAGAGTCGAGAAAGTTGTATGAGGAATTCATAGAGCTCGTTAGTATGACTCATTGCTTTCCCGAGATCCATTGACACAGATATAAATCAGTTCCAATCGATGGTCAGGGGTGGTCGATTAGAAAAAATAGACGATTCATAATTATTATAGCCCACCGCGAGGGTCGAACTCGCAGCCTTCAGATATCACTAGCCTGCCTTGACTGTAAGAGTCTGACGCTCTATCCGATTGAGCTAAGCGGGCGACAAGGATTCTGTCAAATACGTACCAAACAGCCCAAAGGTCGAAGAGTCAATCGACGCACATGTTCTTTTGCTTCTCAACTTCAGGCTTTCGATGAACCCCACGGAAAGTATACCACTTACATAGGTAAATGAAAATACGCGATGCCACACTTTTGCCAATCGGAGACAAAAAGATTTCGGCTATCTTCGGTTGAATCCGGTCGATCTCAACGATCAATAGGCTGCGATAAGCTAGAGTCACGAAAAATTTGTGCTATTACTAGATCTCAGCACACATGGCGGACGAACGTCTCGCCAGAGTCGTAGCGAAATTGCAGAGTCTGCCTTCCATCTCTCTTCCCACTGATTATCCGAGACCGACAGGTGTTCACAAGGTCATCGAGGCAGCCCATGTCGCACAACTATCGGACCAGACATCTCTGAGCTTGCTTAAGCTTGCACTCTACAACGAAGGCGAGGATGGAGACGACGACGATAGTGTTGACGAATCTCGACCTTCAGCGTTTCATCTCTTGTTGGCGGCGTTCACTGTGTTGTTGCATCGTTACACAGGCGATACTGATGTCGTAATTGGTTCCTCCTCCGCCACTGAACGAGATCCTCTGGTTCTGCGCCTATCCATAGAGCCAACAGATCCATTCTGGGCAGTCGTGCGACGCGTGCAGCAGGTCGAGAGGGAGGCTGAGGCGGATGCGGTGCCCTTCGAAGCCCTTACCAAAGAACTTAACAAAGACAAGGATGAAGGCCTTGAATCTCCCATTTTCCGTGTCCGCTTCTTTGACGAAACCGATAACCCACAAGACACCTTCATTCGATCAACAAGTCTGACCTCGGATCTCACAATCTTTGTCACCCGACCCCCAGTCTCGACGCGCTCGGCATTGGCTCCGCAAATATCTCTCCGCATCATATACAACTCCCTTCTCTTTACCTCAAGTCGTATCACTTGCATTATCGATCAGCTTTCAGTTTTCCTTCGCAAAGTTGCCGCGGTCCCTCTTTCGCCCGTAGGCTCTGTGCCTCTTCTTACACCCGCCCAGAGGGCCAAGCTCCCCGACCCCACTGCTGATCTCAACTGGTGTGGATGGAAGGGAGCTATTACTGACGTCTTCTCACGGAATGCGCGTCAATCGCCAGACCGGCCTTGCGTCATTCAGAGCATTCCAGCTGTATCCCTTACCGACGTCCAGGAACGCGTCACCTTTACATACAGTCATATCTTGCATGCTGCCAATATTCTTTCTCACCATCTCATCAAGGAAGGTGTTCAGAGGGAAGAGGTTGTAATGATTTATGCGCACCGCAGCGTTGATCTCGTCGTTGCTGTTATGGCTGTACTCAAAGCTGGTGCTACATTCTCAGTTATTGGTCAGCTCTCAACTTCAATCTTCCGTCCGTCTTCCTAAATCTAAATTACTCAGACCCCGCCTATCCCGCCTCACGACAGATCATCTACCTTCGAGTCGCTCAACCACGCGCGTTGGTCGTTCTCAAAGGCGCTGGCACCATCAGCCCACCGGTTCGCGAGTTCCTGTCCACTGAGTTGAAAATCCGTGTTGAGGTCCCTGCACTGGAAGTCCTCCCCGGGGGTGGTATTGCTGGAGGGATCGGAGCGAGCGGTGTAGATGTGCTTCAGCCTCATTTGCATCTTGCTGATATTGACCCTAATGTCACCCTCGGGCCGGACAGTGTCGGCACTCTCTCATTTACAAGTGGAAGTACAGGTATTCCAAAAGGCGTAAAAGGGCGTCACTTTAGCTTGACTCACTTCTTCCCATGGATGGGTGAACGTTTTGGTTTAGACGAAAATTCCAAGTTCACCATGTTGAGCGGCATTGCACACGACCCCATTCAACGTGACAGTGAGCGTCTTCGCCTCATCGTCCAAGTCGTAATCTAACAAAGCTTAGTGTTCACCCCCCTCTTCTTTGGCGCACAGCTCCACGTCCCTACAGCTGATGACATCGGCACTCCAGGGCGTTTGGCTGAATGGATGGCAGCCAGCGAAGTCACCGTCACGCATCTCACCCCTGCCATGGGTCAACTCCTCTCAGCTCAAGCCACGTGCCAAATTCCTTCTCTCCGCAACGCGTTCTTTGTCGGTGATGTGCTCACGAAGCGCGATTGTCTTCGTCTTCAAGCTCTCGCCGCAAACGTCCGCATCATCAACATGTACGGTACAACAGAGACTCAACGCGCAGTGTCGTACTTCGCTATCCCTCCAATTTATGAAGACTCCACGTTCCTTGCTACACAGAAGGACATCATGCCTGCCGGTGAGGGAATGATCGACGTTCAACTGCTGGTCGTCAACCGCAACGACAGAAACATTCCGTGCGCTATTGGCGAGGTGGGCGAGATCTACGTCCGCTCAGGTGGCCTAGCAGAGGGTTATCTCGACGCTGACGCGAGCGCCGAGAAGTTCGTAAACAACTGGTTCTCTGCCAACACGTCACCGCGAAGGGATACCATCCTGCACCCAGTTGAGGATCTTGCTGGCCCCGAATCACGCTACTGGAAAGGAATTCGCGACCGCATGTATCGCTCTGGAGACCTTGGTCGGTACCTACCCGATGGTATCGTTGAGTGTACCGGGCGCGCAGATGACCAGGTCAAGATTCGAGGCTTTAGGATCGAGCTTGGTGAGATCGATACACATCTCAGTCAGCATCCACTCGTACGAGAGAACGTTACACTTGTTAGGAGAGATAAGGATGAAGAGAAGATTCTCGTAAGCTACTTTGTACCACTCGATGCGCCGGATCTCCAGGCGTATGCCAGTGACATTCAGGAGGATGAAGATAGGGGTTTGGCGAGGGGTATCCGCAAGTACCGGAGACTTATCAAGGATATTAGGGAACATCTGAAGAAGAAGCTCCCAAGTTACAGCGTGCCAACTCGTAAGGATCCATTCGATTTGACTTACAGATTTTTAAACGAACATTGATCCAGTTTTCGTCCCATTGAGGCGTATGCCTTTAAACCCTAATGGCAAAATTGACAAGCCAGCCCTTCCTTTCCCAGACACAGCGAGTGCAGCGACGACAGCACCACAAGTGGAAAAGGGCTCTTCAACAGAAGAGACTATGCGTGCGATCTGGGCGAACTTGCTTCCAAATGCATCTCAGCCTATACCATCGGACGAAAGCTTCTTCGACCTGGGTGGTCACTCCATACTGGCAACTCGCCTTATCTTCGAGATTCGCAAGGTGTTCGTTGTAAACGCTCCCTTGGGCCTAGTTTTCGATGAACCTACGATTGCTGGTCTCGTTCGTGCTGTTGATGTCCTTCGTAATGCGGATCTTGGGCTCGAGACCGTAAATGGTGCCCTAACTGCACCCGGTGGACCTAGTACTCAAGCTTCCACTGTCGCCGTTGAGTACGGACAGGATTACAATGAGCTACTTCCTCGGCTAAAAGCTTCTTACCCGTCTCTCCCTTCTGATTTCTACCGACGTCCACTCACGGTCTTCCTCACCGGTGCCACCGGTTTCTTGGGTGCTTTCGTCCTGCATGATCTTCTTTCGAGAGAGGAAAAAGTCCGGAAAGTTATTTGCCTTGTTCGTGCCTCCACCTCGGAAAAAGGTCTAGCGCGTTTGAAAGAAGGGTCGACAGACCGAGGTGTTTGGAGTGACTCCTGGGTATCGTCTGGGCGGTTAGAGGTGGTCACGGGAGACCTTAGTTTGAATCTATTTGGACTTGGGCAGGACACTTGGGATCGCGTCACTCAGGAAGCTGATGTTGTGCTTCACAATGGTGCACTGGTGAGATCTTCCTCGTTTATTTGACAGTGCACTTTTTTACCATTTTTAGGTGCACTGGGTATATCCGTATGAAAAACTCCGGGCAGCTAATGTTCTTGCCACGTTAACGGCGATCACACTCGCTTCGACTGGAAAGCCTAAGAACATGGTGTTCGTGTCTTCAACTTCGGCTATAGACACCGACCACTATGTCCAGCTTTCTGAATCGCTAACGCATGGGCGGTCTCCGTATTCTGGTGTTCCTGAGACCGATGACCTGGAGGGTGCTAGGTCCTCTCTCAAAACGGGTTATGGCCAGACGAAGTGGGTATCTGAAAAGCTGCTGTTTGAAGCTGGCAAAAGAGGCCTTAGTGGACACATTGTACGTCCTGGATATGTTGTGGGAGACTCTCGCACAGCAGGTGAGCTCGTCTGTCTTGGCATCACCAGTCTTTTCTGACAGTTCTTTGCTGGAAAGTCACCAACACCGACGATTTTATTTGGCGATTAGTAAAGGGATGTATCCAGCTTGGTCTTGTGCCAGACATGAACAATACTGTCAACATGGTACCTGTCGACCACGTGGCCCTTTGTACGACTCTATCGGCGATATCTCCTCTCCCCAATGCTTCGATGTCCGTCCTTCACATCACTGCTCAACCGCTTCCCACCTTCAATAGCATGCTTTCATCGTTGAAACAATACGGATATGCGGCAGAGCCCTGTGAGTATGTTATGTGGAGGAGAAGGCTGGAGCAGCACGTCATGGAGGTTCAAGATAATGCGCTATTCCCTCTACTCCATTTCGTCCTTGACGATCTGCCAACGAGCACCAAAGCACCGGATCTTGATGATACCAACACGACCGCATTGTTGAAGCAACATTCGGGGCAACTTGCCAGGACAGTTTCAGAACCACTCATGGGCTTGTATATTGCCTGGCTTATCGCGGCTGGCTTCTTGCCCCCACCCTCACTTGCATCGCCAGAGAAGCAGCTGCCACTCTTGGCAAACGGTGGCACAGTCAAAGCTGCCGGACGAAGCGGCGCTTAGGGCTCGCTAGTTTTGGGGACATCTCAAAGATAAAATGTAACAATACTAATAGTTTGATTTTTTACGTTCTCTTATCTCCGTGAATGTGGCGTTACGTGTACAACACGTTCCACCGAACCCACTTCTGTTTACCTGCAACAAAAGACTAAGGGCTGATCTACGACACGGGAAACAACGTAATCAAGTTCAAACTGGTTCATTT